TATATATATTCCTAAACTCTCCTTTCCTTTCCTTTCCTTTGCATCCAAGCCATTCTTTTCCCTCCCACTTATGTAATGCAAATGCGCTCCCATTCATGCATCACATCACTCACTGCAGCACCAGCACAGCACCCACAGCGAGTGCACGGACCCTTAACCTTAGATCCTCCGACAACATTCGCCACCAAGAAAAATTCAACATCGGAGATTTTCTAGTGGTAAGTCACGTGAACATTAGAGTCTGTAAATAGGTTTCTGTTTGCTTTACTTTATGATTGTTCATAATTTAATCTCTATCTCTATTTCTGTTTCTATCTTTAATATTTCATGATTTATATTTAGCTTAGTCTTATGTCACGACATTTGCCTGTAGATTTGAAACGGGCCATGTTTGGATATGCAGGCAGCTATATTATATCAATTAAGGTTCACATTTAGTGCACGGAGTCGCATTTGGTTGAAATCTATTTTTTGTTTCTTTTTGCGGAGATGCGATGCTCCATCACGAAAAGGGAGTAAACCGAAGTCTCGTGACTAATACCCACTGGGATGGACAACCTTGCGATTGGTCCGATCTAACATCAGATGAGATCCCCATCCCCATCCCCCTCGCCCAGCGGTGCTACATCTTAATCATAAACAAATTCCGGAAAAGTATTCTGGCTGTGCTTTTTCTTTGAATTCCAGCTTTTATTCAACCATATGATTGTTTTATAGCCCCGAATAAATAACGCATTCGTATGCCGTTCACCGGACCAGCGGCTTCATTCTGGCCTTGAGATTTTGAACCTACATCCTCCCTCTTTTCAACAGCTGCCGGCATTGCGGGGTCCAGATACAGGTACTGGGTTGAAATGAAATTATCCAAAGCTTTCTTGTCCAGTAAATTATACTTGTTGCTTTTTGTATTCTACTTTACCCATACTGTCAATTAATTGACTAAAGCTTCCCGCTTGTGTTTATGCGGAGCTTCTCATTCCGAGGTCTGTGTAATGTTTTTTATTCCTAGTAGCTCTTGATCTTGAAAAGTGACGAGATGAGATCCCTATATATACCCAAGTAATATCCTCACCTATTTCATTATTCCAAACCATTACTTACCGATCTCTCGATTATCACAATGCGTTTTTCTTCTCTACTTCTCGGTGCCGTAGCATTGGCTTTCTCTGGCGCTTTTGCAGCTCCTGCTGCCAATACCGACCCAGCTTCTAACGAGCGCAATGTCAGTACCAACAAGAAGCGGTCGAACTTTTGGTTTGCAGGTGTCAATGAATCTGGCGCCGAGTTTGGGAGTACCAATCTTCCCGGAACCAAAGGCACAGATTATACATGGCCGTTAACATCATCCGTCGATGTAAGATGAGCGCTCGAACCCCCAGGTGATACTTTACATGCTAATCAAACATGCAGACTCTAATGGCAAAGGGATTCAACATCTTTCGCATCCCTTTCCTGATGGAGCGTCTCGTCCCGGGCTCTCTGACCAGCAGCGTGAACGCCGCCTACCTCGCCGACATGCAAGCCCTCGTAAGCCACATCACGAGCAAGGGCGGGTACGCCGCCATCTGCGCGCAGAACTTCGGCCGGTACTACAGCAGCATCATCACGGACACGGCGGGCTTCACGGCCTTCTGGCACACGGTCGCCAGCGAATTCGCATCCGACGCGCACGTCATCTTCGACACCAACAACGAGTACCACGACATGGACAACACGCTCGTCGGCGCCCTCAACCAGGCGGCCATCAACGGCATCCGCGCAGCCGGCGCAACCGCCCAGACCATCTTCGTAGAGGGGAACTCGTACACCGGTGCCTGGACGTGGGTCTCGTCCGGTACATCGACCGCCATGGCTGCGCTCACAGACCCGAATGACAATATCATCTACGAGATGCATCAGTATCTCGACAGCGACGGCTCGGGTACCAGCTCCACCTGTGTGAGCACCAGCATTGGGGTGGAGAGGCTGCAGGCTGCCACGGCGTGGTGCAAGAGTGCGGGGAAGAACTGTATCCTGGGGGAGACGGCCGCCGGGTCGAATAGTCAGTGTATCAGTGCCCTAAGTAACATGCTGGCCTATATGGAGACCAATAACGACGTATGGAGAGGCTGGTTGTTGTGGGGAGGTGGGCCGTGGTGGGGGTACGTCGTCCTGTCCTGACCTGACTCCCGAGTTCCAGAATCACTGTGCGCGCTTGCTAATTAATTCTACGCAGGGACTATATCTTCTCTGTTGAACCGCCGTCCGGGACACAGTATACAGGTGTTGTGCCCTCCATCACCCAGTATATCTGAAACAGCTTCTAGAAATGTCTACAAGTAGCACCGCCAGAGCACTCGATAGTTCCCCTCACCGCAAGCTCGTCAGTCTACTAGACTCCGGCGCTTTTAGCTTAGCAGCACACATGAAAGTGATGCAAGAATCTCTTAACCAAACCCCTAAATATATTCTTTTTACCTCCCTATGTCTCCATCTAACACCTAATACCTTTCTTTGTATACATATTTCAATCTCCAACCCCTTGTCATACAGACAGACATTGCAACACCAAATGGACATGTTTCCCATTCCCAAAGCCAAAGTAGTACCATGGCATGGTATGGTGTAGAGACACGAGCTACGTATCCGCAGCTCGAGACCTCGGAGCGCGTACTAGGTATGTGTGCTCGTGTCGATGGAAGAAGCTGCTGTTGGAGTGCTGAGCCGTGCTCGCTATATGGCGAAAGGGTTCATTAGCCAGGAATGGAGTGCGGAGTGAAGGAAAGGAAAGCTAATCCAGAGTGCAGTCACAATTGCAGTTGCAGATGGGCGTGAGCATGAAGTTGAATGAAGTGTGAAGTGCCATGTGCAGTATCCTTACCATGCTTATAGAAGACGGGACCAGTGGACAGTGGGGAATGTGTAGGAGAGCAACATGGTGAAAGAGGGGAATGAATCAAGGAAGACGAACGAACGAACATTTTTCAAGGACCATGTAGCGAAGCGTTAGGTACGCAAGTAATAAAGCGGTCATGCTGGTGATGATGTTGATGATGCCGAAGATTATGGCGGTGGTTAAGTCGGAAGACACTAACGAACAAGACTTAGTTAGTATTCAACGATTACTCTGGCGATTTCTGTGGGACTGGGACTCGAGGGGCAGCCTGGCAGGTACAGGGAAAGGGAAAGGGAGAAATTGACAACACATACTGGCTATTGTTATAATACTCAATGGATAGACGGTATTTTCCCTGTCAAAGTCAATGCTGGTGCTGGTTAAGCTGGGAATCTGCTCTTAGATAAAAGATGTCAGTGGAAAAGGCAATCCTAGCGGAATGAGTGCCCTTTATATACGCTCTTCAAACCTATTCGCGTAATTTTACAGCTGGACACAGCTTATGAGATACAATCTAATTCGCTCGCTTACTGCGAATTAGCTCTGTCAACATGGTGGCCAAGTACGGCCGGACACACTCAAATACAGACGGACACACCATCTGTGCGCGTTCGGAAGGGGGGCGGTGCCGACTTCTATACATTATTTATTACTGGTTAAGCCTTCCAAGTAATATGGCAAGTTGAGGTTGGAGGCGAGGCGAGGCTTCAGAAAAACGTTCGTTAGTGTCAGGGGACTCAACTCCATCGTTCGCTGATCAGGCTTATTCGAGTGTAATACTACCCTAAGACGATGCTGAAATAATGCTTGTACCCGCACTGCTGTTTAGACGCCTGACTTTCCAGGCTGCTTACTACACCCGAAAAGGTGAGAGATGGAGTACAGGCCATATGGCAATCACGTGTTCAAGCTCGCAATATAACGACTCAATACGGAGTAGCGAGGGTATGTAATGATAGCGCTAACATAGTGATTAAAAGACAGTGGACGAGTTTCAAGTAAGTTATTTTGTATATTGAGCTTTCTAACTCTGATGCTAGTGCACCGGTTGGCCCTCATAGGTAGTCTATTAGAGTCCGGCGCTTTTAACAATGCATATTAAAGTGATGCAAGAATCTCTTAGCCCTCATTGTAATTCAATCTACTATTACCTCCAGATCTTGACACCTTAAACGACCAAAGTAGAGCGCATGGAGTCGAGGCATTATTGGCCTTAGGCCTACCAGGCTTGAAGTCAAAGTCCAACTTCAGGATCGAAAATGTTCAAACCTCTCTTCCAACAGATACACCTCAAGTGTTTCCCTCCGAAGTTTGATACCTACCGAGTATATAGTAGAAAAGCACAAGATGACCTTTATGTCAGTCCCTGAAGGAAGAAGAGACATGGTTGAGCAGGCGAAACTGGATCTGGAATGGTCAATTGAGCAATTTCCCATGGAGATGTAGTAGATAGGAGCTGTATTAGATGGCATAGAAGAACGCAATGCATCTATCAAAAAAGTGAGATTAGTTTCCCAGCAATTAGCATATATCCTAGAGACTGTGTTTCCTCGTCGCTCTAGCCATCAGCAGCGAGTGGCTGCATTATGCGATATACCGCCATCTGGTTGAAGTAGATGCCGCAGAAAGCATGGCAGACTGAGGCTTTCAGCAGAGTACATCAAGGGGAACATTTGCTAATACACTATATGAAACACACAGATACTATCTCATCTCCCCCTTCCAGCAATCGAAGCTATTATCACAAAGCTAGGAACATACTATGATTCTATGGAAGTACTTCTCACTGTTACTATTATCATACAAACGATACTATTCTCGAGCCTAGAAAAGCAGACAAGGGTAGAGCTTTAGGAAGTCCTGGGGGGGTTCTGGACATAGCAGCGACACATGTTATAGATAAAGGAGATTCAGATTGAGGCGGATACGAGACGGCCTAGCAGTTTTGCCAGAAGCTTGCGGTTGGTATTGTGACAGGAGAGAAGTATTAGGAGATTTGGATGTTGCGAGAAAGAGGCACTGTAGGACTGGGAAACAATTGCAAGAAGCGTTCGGGAGATGATAGAGAACAAAAACAAGACGAGAGTAAAAGAGGGGCAAGAACATGAGAAGACGCACGCGGAGCGAAATTGTATTGCTTTTCCAGAAGCTGACTGTGATTTCGACCTACCGCCACCTTATGCGAGTCCAAGAATTAAGCAGGAGCTTTAAAGATGCGCTAGTCATGGCTAAGCTAGGGCGTCGGCATTGGAAGGCTACGCAGAACAATTCAACTTAGATGGTCGAGAATCTCTGCTTACTCCTATAAGTTATATTTGGGTTCTTGGGAATTCTTATTAGCAATTATAGAGCAACGATCTCATACAAGCTGTGTCTACCCAATTACGTAGTTTGTCACTTTTTCGTTCCCGATGCCCATCCTCAAAACATTCTGCCACCGAACGATTGTCAATTCCCCCGACGAATTTTCTCATAGTAGCTTAGCTCTAAGATCTATAAAAATCTCCGCTTTTTGGCTATTCCTGCATTGTTCGGAAGTCACGACTCCTAGATTCATGACCTGAGATCCGTGCAAGCGCTAGCTCCAACTAAAATCTGCGATCTACGTCCCACTCCAATCTAATCCTACTCGTTTCATCTTTAAGCCCTGCTAGAAGTTAGTCTATGGTTGCGATATTGCCTATACGCTATTTGACCTTTATAATCCTAGAAATCTGCTATTATATTACAACTGCAACCGACTTGAACTTTTCTTGATTTTCAAAGCGGAAGCACGCCGACTTTATCCTATTTTAAAGAAATAGATATAAGTAGCACGAAAATCTATCTAAGCCCTTAATATAGAGTTCTCTTATTTCCGAAATATCAGACAGTCATACACATCATATAGATGCGAAGAAATCGGGAATCAGATAGGTAGAAAGTCCAGTTCACACGTGATATGACTCGCTTAAGCCCCTTATGCCGGGAAAGGGCAATGCATCTATCGTTCTATGACCTTGCAAAACTCATTTTAAAATGGAGACATGTGAAGGGATAATAAAAGAAAGATCTACTGCATCAAGTATTCGGGATATTCTAGTTCATAGGAGAATTCTAATCTAAATAACATCTGCTTGCTTTCGAGTGGGACACATTCTCGTCTTAAACTCTCCTTATTATCTAATAACTACTATGGACCAACTTCAACACACCTATGCTCAAGACCAAATGAAAGCTTTCACTATACTCAAAACCGGTCCGGTCTTTCACGTGGTGTATCAAGCAAGGCTTTTAAGTTGCATCGCTACAACGGCAGGTGGTAACACAACAGTACCTACCCCCCCTACCCACTTACCTATCCCCCTACCCACCTACCCAC